TCACCACTCCTGTGCTCTGGGGCCATTATTAATATAAGGGTGATGAACACTAGCACTGTGATAGCACTGCAACAGGTGATCTGACAACCCAGATGGCTACTAAGTGACAAACAGGCTGGAGCGACCACAGTGTGGATACACCAAAGAGATGATTCACATCCCGAGCAGGATGGAGCTGGATGCCATGAGATTTCATCATGCTACTCAGAACGGCATGCAATTTAAAACTTATGAATTATTACTAGAATTTTTAATTTGGTGATCTCAGGTGCTTGGTGAGTTCCTTTGTTAATATGGGTAATAGTAATAGCACCTACCTCGAAGGCTTCCTGTGAGGTGTTACTGATATCTAGTATGTGGCTATCATTTGCTGAGGCTCTCTCCATCAAATTTCTCCAGGTTTCATTTAACCCATCCTAGCCCTCTAAGCTTTCTTTGGATCATGGTTATGTCCTCTTCAAGTTTGTTAAGCCTGGCGGTTGTGTCCTTAGCCACGATATTAAGAGAAATGTTGGACAGGGCTGGGGTGAAGACAAAGTCTTGGGCCATCCCTCCAAGTTAATATCAGGCCACTCCTCAGCTCACTCTGAAGAGGGTAATTCAACCAGTTATTAGTCTGCTTCATCGAATGGTACCTCAGCCCATGTTTCTTCACTTTGTCCCAGAGGACTGGGTTGCAAACAAATGAGGTCCAAGCTAACCTCTTAAGGAACGGCTCAAGGCAGGCCCTAACGGGCTCTGGAAGGCTACTCCTTAAGCCTGACTGGGGTGACAGTCCCCAGAGGAGTTGTGGCAGCAGGGGGACTGCTGAGATATTCCAGGGGCTCAAGGCAGGCCCTAACGGGCTCTGGAAGGCTACTCCTTAAGCCTGACTGGGGTGACAGTACCCAGAGGAGTTGTGGCAGCAGGGGGACTGCTGAGATATTCCAGGGTATCACTTTATGAGAAACCTCCACACAGGCTCACCCATCATCCCCTTGTGTGTGTACAGGGCTTTGCGCCAAGTCCTTGTGTGTAGAGAAGAAAATGTCAAGACCCTGCATTATTGGCCTAGGCTTATGGTCGAGATTCTATTATTATTCAGAATCCACTGTTCTGAAAGCGTGGACTAGGATTCAACGGCAAGCCCTCCCTCACACTCCACAGATAAGCAGTTTCCTTAATGATGAACTGGAAGTATTACAAGAAGCTGTGGTGGTTTGAATAACAAATGTGTGTGTGTATATATATATATATATATATCTGTTTAAATCTTATTAACTCTAACTTCCTAAAGACTGGTAAATTATGCGTGGAGTACCTGAAAACTCACTAAATCACAATAGTGCCTAATATTCATTTAATATTTTAAATATGGCAGCCTCATCTCCATTTCAGATTAAGAAACTAAGGCTGTGTGAGGGGTAACTGCTGACAAATGCCTTCACACACACACCACTACGGAGCAGTTTCCCTCCTTCCTCTCACTGTCGAGATCATCTCGTGTATTCCCCAAGGCTTTAAATACCATTTCTATGCTCAAGACTCCTAGTGTGTTAGCTGTAGCTGCTCTACTGGCTAAAAGAGAACTCTTCTCTCCAAGTTTTATTTCAGTTTTGGCAATTGATTGTTCAGGTCAAAAACTGTGGAGTCACCTTTGCATCCCCACCCTCTGCATCCAATCTGGCAGCAAGTTGTTCTTTCTTCCCATCACCCTAGTCCAGGCCACCACCATCTCTTACCTGGACTGCCCCAGGCAGAATGGCTCCATCGGCAAGGCGGCAAGGAGACCTGTAGGGTGGGTTTAGTGACGCAGGCCCTGAGGAAAGGAGGGTAGGAGTGCGCTGGTGGCTGTGGAGAGTGGAAGGGGGCTGGCTTGAAAGGGCCCTGTCAGCTCTGCCTTTCCACCACTGTCAAGCTGGCAAGACCGTAACTTATGCGTAGAAGGCTTTATTGTCTTAGACTCCCCCCTGTACCAGCAAGTCCTCAACCTCCTTTCCTGAAATCGGGTTTCTGCCTTCCCTGGGAAGCCTGCACAGGATGTGTTACTGTATACCTGGGGATAAAAATCCAAAACAAGACACACCACTGACTGGAAGCATGAGGAAATTCACTGCCTCCAGTGGCAGCGGCTCAAATACAAAAGCTAGAAGTTGAGTACATGCACTGGCTACACCCCAGAGGATGAGAGCCAAATGTCTCATCAGAAGGCTGATTTGACTGCGGCGAGTTGTAGGCGAGGCAGAGCAACTGGCACTTAGAATCCTGGGCTGGAATGCTTGCTGGCAACTGGCCATCTTGCTGCCTTCTCTCCGTCTTTGTCCTGTGGACACCCACTTCCTTTCATTCCTGTTGCCCACTGCTTGGCAGACTTCCCCACTCCCCGTCTCTCAAGTCTTGGGTCCTCTCCCTAACTGATTCCCATTCCTGTCTTCTTGGACCTACTGAGACTCCCAGGACTGAGTGGGGGCTGCAGGAAGCTCATGGGTTCATCTATTTTGGGACCTTCCCGCAAACCAGTGGAAGGTTTTACAGGTTCTATTCAACAGGGAACAGACTTCTTGGAACTTAAGGAAGAAACTGACTAGGCAGAATCCAAATGATGAAAGGAACCATAAACCAAGCCCAAGACTGCCCCATGAATTCCTAATAACTTAATTATCTAAGAGCTCTACAGCACACTGAAGTGACCATCAATAAGCACAGCACAAAGTTAGATTTACAGCCAAAAGCTTCAGCAGCAGGAACATGTGGCAGATGTACTACCTGCCCCACCCCCCACCTCCCTTCCCCCCAGTATGTGGGAGAACAGCCCTGAAGCACAGTATCAAGAGGACAGCAGGGGCCGGCCCAGTGGCGCACTGGATAGTGCGCCGCTTAGGAGGCGCGGCGGTGCTGCCGCCCGAGGGTTCGGATCCCACATACAGACCGGCTCCCGCTCACTGGCTGAGCGAGGCGTGGGAGCGACGCCGAGGTTTGCAGTCCCGTTGCCGGTCCCTGGTCCGGTACGGGGGCGGCACTGAGGGTTGCGATCCATTGCCGGACACGGAACAAAAAGACAAAAGACAAATAAAAAAAGAATTTCCACAACCTCCCTACAGGACATGTAGATAAAGTACCTGCTAACTGCTGGCTCTAAGCAATAAGACTTCCAAATCCTGTTGTGATTAAGGATCAAAGTGCTTGGTGCTATAGACTTTCCCTTCTTTCAGGTGTCATTTAGCCATTTGGTTAAATGCTGCCTGTGTCCGTCAGGAACACCAGGCTTCTCCTGCACCAACCCACTTTTCAACCTTTTTCCCGTTAGCACATCCAGTCCTGTGAGGATTCTCGGCCCATGCCTTCGCTATTTACAGCAAGGCTCAGTCATGGACAGAAAGCTATGGATTCCACTCGAGCTCGATGCGGTGTCAGTGTGTAACCACGTTTTGGGGATGGCTGCCACCCACCATCCCCACAGGGCAAGTGTGCTACAGCAACTCCTGCAGAGACCGCAAGAGTAGGGGCTCAGGGCGTGTGGCTTCATTCACTTGGGCGCCCAGTGCCTGACACATCTTAAGCACTGGCCCATGGCTGAGTTACCTCTAACGGAAGAGCTCTGAGTTCCAGGGGAAGGTTGGCGAGGAAACAAATTATGGCTGAAGTAATCAAAAGATGGAGTAGGAGAAATACTGTTCTGGGACAGGCTCTGCACACATGAGAATCTGGAACTTGAAACTGCAGAAATCTGAGGGTTGCTTTGCATATAGAAAGTAGGCCCCTCTTGCATAAGAACAGAAGCAACTTCTGGATTAAAGAAAACTCTTACCTGGCTTATCTCTTCCAGAGAGGGAAGAGGCTTGAGTTCTATTACTAGATTTGCAGCACTTCAGTACAAACTCGTTAGCAAGGTTGACACCTGTGTCAGGAGCCACTGTTCTTGAAGTGATTTAACTGTTGGAAACTGCCAAAGTAGTATGATTTAGTGAGATGCAGGAGGCTGTCCAAGACAGTATGTGTTGAGAGACCAGAAGATGACAGACTGGGTTCCTTCTGAGCCTACTGTCTGGCGTGCTCTGCTGGAGGAGGAAAGGCTTGCACAGATGACATTCCTGATGAGAGCACTTCATGTGTATTCAAAACTCTACATTCCCAGGCTCTGATGTAAATGTTATGCCTCACCAAAAAGAAATGTCTCCAAAAAACACTGGATCTGGTTAGCAGTAATGTGAGAGCTGCTATTGCAGACATGGCAGATTCTATTTTTAACACTTTATTGGTAAAACAACTCCCTTCCCCTCCACCCTTACAGAGAACTACCTTTTATTTTTCTTGTGGGTAACATAACTTACCTGTTTAACCAAGGCCTGTGCTGGCCCGCTACAGAAGTAATTCGGATAGCAGCCTACCCTTCCCTGTCCCCATGCTCGAACTGTTCCTATACAGGGAGCTATGTCACTATCTTATTCAGAAAAGGCATATGCTATAATAATAGTAATGGAACATGCTAGGCTTCGGGTAAACTTTGCTGTATATCTTCATCAGCTGAAATGAGAAAGAACGTTACTACTATGAGTAAGTTAGAGTTCCAACAAGCAGCCTCTGAGAGGAAAAAAAGCCTTAGACTGGCAAGGAAGGAAGGGGGTCCATGCTGAAACTTTGTAAACATGCCATGCCTAACACAGAAGACTTCTTAGATAGAAAAACCCAAAACCCACAATATTTGAGAAACCAGAAAGAATAAGATGAAGACATAACTGTGTCAGGCAGGGGGGAAGGAAGAGGGGAGCTGTAAGGAGAAAGCTAAAGCACGTGCTTTTACCGCAGCCCACCCCAACCCCCAATCAAAAGGGCATGACTTCCAGAACTGGGGGAAATTCGAGCATTATCTACTGCAGTTAATTTAAAACAGGAATATTTATAGTTCTTCTGCCAAAGTTTCAAGGGCTCTGAAGACTAACAACTGGAATCCAAGTTATATTCACAAGTCCTGTGGGTATTTCTCCCCCCAATCCTGCACAGAAGAGGACCAAAAAAATACATTCCTTCTCTCTGGAATTTATTATTTTTTTTATGAAAACAAAGATAGAAAAATTAAAATGACCAACTGGCAGGATCACATTATTTCTACCCGTTACTGGCACTTGCCCTTAATCCAAGTCATTTTGGAGTCCCCTTGTCCCTGCCCTGTTTAATTAGCCATTTGCATCCTTGAGGGTTGAGAACTAAGTACCGTAGATAAACAGTGAGTACATGAGTATCTTTTTAGTCTTCACCAAATCCAGACGTGGTTTTGAGTTCTGTGGACAACAGAAGCTTCAATTCTTTGACATCTCTGTGACTGAACCAGAGCCGCAGATGACCAAGTCTGGAAACAGACAGGGTCTTCCCATCAGTCTTCTGGAACAAGTGGAGGAGGTAGTTGGTGACTGGGAACTCTGGTACAAACAACCAGAAGTGAAGATGACAAAGGCTAGAAAGGAGTCATTTAGTAAAAACAAAAAAACCCTCAGCAGGATTTGAAGACAACAATAGAGGAATCCAACACCCTGATCACTTCACACTCCACGGACAGCATGAAGTGTACCACATGGGAACTCAGTGACTTCAAGCCATGGGACAACAGCATACCAGTTCATTAGACAGGTCAAGACTGAGGCAGGCCACTGAGGGGGTGACCCTAAGGGAGAAACCAGGACTCATAGGCTCTTCTCCAACCTCTGCTGTCAGGTATTCTCAGGCCAACTTAGGCTTCTCTGTGCCTCTGAACAATGGGCAATTTCTTACCAGGCTGGGGCTGCTTAGGTAAAGGTAGGCAGACATTCCAATAGTTGCTACCAGAACTCTGGCCTCTCGAGCAAAGACCACAGCACAGGGTCAGATTCTAAGGGGACAGGACAGCCTGTTCTTTCCCCAGTTCCATCTCAGAGGGGCATCTGACATTTGTTCCCAATACCCAGTTGTCACCACAGGTAGACCAAGACTATAATCACAACATCAAGGACAGGATTGTGTTGCTTTTCTTCTTTTTTTTTTTTCTCTTAAAGGAGTGAGGGCATGGAAAGTACAGCACACCAATGAAACAAAAATGCCAAAAAAAAAAAAAAAATTAATAATAATAATAATACAAAAAAATAGAAAATAGAAAAATGTATTTACAAGTAGTACATTACTATGATCAGAAAGCACAAAGACACCTGCTGCTATAATACATGCATTGGTTCAAGAAGAAACTACTAAAAACCCTGCAAGGGAGAAGCCTGTAAAAAGAAAAAAAAGGGCCAAAAAGTTTTAACTTTTCATCCCTAATTTGTTACGCTGATCAAAACCAAGTAAGAGTCTCCTAAAGTCCACAAGTCTATCAATCAGTACAAATGCTATACTGGTTTGTAACTGCAGGGTCAGTCGCAAAGGGGAAAGACAGCAGCTTATCCATATACAAGGAAGTCACAGGAAACTGCTCTACATGCTCAAAATTACAGCAAGCCCCCGTCTGCTCCACAGCATGATCTTAGCAGGTTTTAATTTTTGTTTATTTATATATATCTATGTGTGCGTGTAGGTGTATATATGTACGTATGTATAAAAACCGTGCCCTTGTTCACTGCCAACACAACATCTGGGTGGACATGAACTCATTACAGCAAATTCTTAAGTGTATGTTGTAAGAAGTCACTCAATGTCTGTGGATTTAATAAGTCACTTCACACCACAGAAAATATTTAATAAATCCAAAAAAAGGAAAGAAGAATATAATGACAGAATAGTTTCTGTCTCAGTTCTTTGAAACTGAGTCCCCCATAGGAAACTGGTCCCAAAGTTCTTGAGGGTTTGCTGAAGAAACTTCGGTTTGCTAATGTTTTTTTTCATCCTTTTAGTGTTCAAAAGTTCTAGAACGACTCCTTGCCGTTTTCAGTTTTTAAATAGTCAGATCTCCATCTCCCCGCAAGGTGTAACAGTCTGGTGCAGATCCATAAAAACGGGGAAGGAGCGCTGGGGAAGGGCCTGTCACTTCTGGAAGGCTCCACCTCTACAACTGCAGGAAGAAGAGGAACCACACAGGGCTCCAGCACCTCTCCTGTGAGCAAGCTCCCTTTAAATTCAAAATCCAGCCACACGTCAGTTCCTTAAACACGTACATCTCTGGGTACCAGGCCAGCTCTAAGAGGAAACAAAAACCACGCGTTGAGAGAAAAGGACTATGATGGCCATTCTGGTCACTTCCTATGTGATCCATCATACTTCCAGGAATCGGGAGCTGCTGGACTTGGAGTGGAATGGCTCAGACCACATCCGCCGTAGGTCACCCTGGGAAAGAAAGGACTTTACTAAGGTACAGATTTAAATGTGAGGCACGCATAGCTAAAAATCCTTTCTGATTCTTGATCTCAGATCAGATTGCCTCTGTGGGGAATCAAAGAGCATTCAAATTTTACTCACTGAAAAGTAACCCACCATTTTTAGGAGAACTCATTAGAAGAGAAACTTTTGGGCCCCTTGAGCAAGGAAGGGCTTTTACCAACTATCCTGATTTTAAGTTCTATCACTTGCAAGTCAGATGCTGTCGGCAAGCTAATTAACCTCTATGTCCCTGTTTCTTCATCTGTAAAACTGGGGATGATAATACAAATCTGGTAAATAAAATAATGCTCTCCCTAAATCTAGTTTTTATCATACACTGCCCTCGATACTATTAAATCTTTCTCATTTACAAACTTTTTTTTTTTTTTTTTGTCTTTTTCCATGTCCGGCAACGGA